ATTCTAAATAAATGAACAACAAGAAAGAAAACAGTAGTTACAAACTCACCAACTGCAGAGAGTAAAGCAAGTAATATAAATTCTGTACCAACTTCTATACACCCAGATAATACCATCCTATATATATCTTAGAAAGGCTATAATTAAGCCAGAAGACACCTTGTGCTGTTGGTGAAGGAAAAATGAAGATAAAGAGGCTTTTAGGGAAAAGAGAGACCTTGTACAAGTTCTTTTGGTCTTCCTCTTTGTTTTTCCACCAATCTTTCTTGTCCATACAGTTTTTTCTTTCCCAAACTTAATTGTCTGGAAGTCTTGGGAATACACACAATTGAATCACACGCTTTTGCCTTCTATAAATATCCCTTGAAGCTACTAAATCTTAGCTTGAACGTTCTAACCTTTTCCATTATTCATGCCACATTTTAGCATATTTAGGATCATTGAGGTGTCAGAAATAAACAATTTCATGTCATCACATTATCCTAAACTATCTCTTTAAATTTGCATGGAGTTACAATTTCCATTTTAAAACAGCAAAATGGGATGAAGAATAATATTCAGGAGGTAATGGCTGTTTCAAATATATGACAAGGAAATTACAGTCATTGGAATATGTTGGGACGTGTTGTGAATGTTTCATAAAAATACATGTTTCATTCATATTTGTACGTCGTACCCATTGTTGTTTATGTACTTTGTCTACTCAGGATGCCACAAAAATAGACATGTGAGTTCGAAGGGATTGTAGCTAAAGTTAGCGCTTTATTATGGCTCTAAACAGAAGGAGAACAATCAGTGGAACTTTTTTCTGATTTAAAAAAGAATGCTCCAATGTCCCCCGATTTTTGCAAAAGTCCAACCCCACCAGCAAGTGCAAGTAACTAAATTGGGCTCTGGCACATTTATAAGTGCAAAGTTGAACTGCTTTTCCCATGTGTAGACATGTGGTGCACTTACAGTTAAAGTAGTCGCCTACATCTACACACCGTGATTATCATGGCCTGTACTACGTGTACTAGGGATAAGCAAAACTGCTTTTCACATGTGTAGACATGTGGTGCACTTACAGTTAAAGTAGTCGCCTACATCTACACACCGTGATTATCATGGCCTGTACTACGTGTACTAGGGATAAGCAAAACTGCTTTTCACATGTGTAGACATGTGGTGCACTTACAGTTAAAGTAGTCGCCTACATCTACACACCGTGATTATCATGGCCTGCACCATGTGTATTAGGGATAAGCAAAACTACTTTTCACATGTGTAGACATGTGCTACACTTACAGTAAAGGTAATCGACTACTTCTACCCACCATGATTATCATGGCCTGTACCACGTGTAATAGGGATAAACAAAAAAAAGCCATCGTTTATTTTATTACAGCCCAAAATTAACTATTTTATTGAAGTTGTTTACCTCGTTAAGAAAGTTGATTAGGCCTTGATTTCTCTACAAATTCGAAATTGTAATTTTAAATTCTATCGGAGAATTCCCAGAAAAGAATGTCGAGAAATGCCAAGATGCAAATACTCACCTAGAGGAGGTTCTGCTAGGGAAAGCGTTATTGGTTTTTATTTTCCAATTTGCTGATTCAACCTTAAATGACAAGACTTAATTTTATTTTAAATTGTTCACAAGTCTTTTTTTAAATCAATAATGGTGTTTTTTAGCGCGAATACCTATAAATTAATATTTAAAAATGTGTTTGAGCATATGATTATTTTTGTTTTAAAATTAATTTGTATAGGGAAATCAATATTATAAAAGTTTTTTTAAATATTGCCACGTGGGAAATTAGAAAAGACAAACTTCAGGATGGCACAGCAATTTATATAAGACAAGATAAAACTATGAATGATAAACAAAAGATAAACAATGAGGGAAGTTTACAGAGTAGCAAAATATAATCAAATAAAATGATACTCTGTTAATACATTAATTAATACTTTGCTACATAGCTCCTTCCCTATAGGAGCTGTGACCCACAGCTTGTAATTATTGTGGTTACTGACATTAATGTAGGTAGTTACTGATGTGTTTCTGCCAAGGATTCCATCGAAGTCTTGGAAAAAATGAAACTCTGTTAATAAAATAATTAATACTTCGCTATCATATAAAAACATTTATTTTGACTGATATATCTTCTAATATATATAAATATGACATTTTTATTCTCATCATATATTCAGTTTCAATTTAATTCTTTTATCGATATTGGATGAAAACTCTAAAAGGACTAAAATATTTTTTTTCTTCTAATTATTATTTCTTCATGTGGTACAGGCCATGTTTATCGTAGTGACTGGTAGTTGCAAATTCTTTTACTCTACATGTCTACAAATTCAGAAAGCAGTTGGACCTTTGCACATTCATTGTGCCAAAGCCCCTGTTTAGTTACTTGCATTAACTGAAGAATTTGACTTCTGCAACCTTCTCCGTACCACCAAAACCCAATGCCTGCAGGATTGGAAATGCACATGACTGGTACAGAGAAAGAGGGACAAGCACCGGTTCTGGCCTACCAAGAGAACAACAATCTTTGATTTCTAGACTTAAGTCTGGTTATCTACGGACAATGACTTTCCATAATGGTTGCAAGGTTTCCCCACTATGTACAAAGTGTCAACCTGCAACCCCAAAACACATTATTGACTGTATTGACTCATTCATTGATGAGCTCTACTCTTCCCGGCAGACACCATCAACAAGCTTTACAAGCTTAGAGCCTAATATGATTGAGTGGAGATAAGAAAGAAGCAAAAGAAGAAATGTGCCAAAGCCCCTGTTGGGTACTTGCATTAACTAAGAGGTTGGACTTCAGCAACAAAATTGAGGATTTTAAGAAATAATATTTTTCTTGGAAAGAGAGAGATGTTTTCTAGAAGAAATAAACTTAGGTATGAAAAAAATAGAAAATTAAATAAAAAGGTCAGGTGTTGATATTAAAAATAAAAAAGGCATATTCTGACCAGGAGCACATGTGCTTTTTAGATGGCAGAGCGCCATCTAGTGGAACAGAAATAAACTAAACATTGATTCAGCCTGTTCTCTTATATATGGCAAAACCAATGGCATTTCTTGATTTATCAAGAAATTAGGTTGGCAAGAATATCAGGGAACAGGCTAAATCAACGTTTAGTTGATTTCTGTTCCACTAGATGGCGCTCTGCCATTTAAAAATCATGTGTGCTCCATGTCAGGATATGCCTTTTTTATTTTTAAACTTAGATATTGTGTAAGAAAAAGTATTGGAAAGGTTTATAAAATTGAGCGACACCAAAATAAAAATGAGGAATGATGATTTTGTTTCTTTGGGTAATTAGTTTTTAAATGTTAAAATTAAATTTCCCTTTTCTGAAGAATAAAGGGAAAATATTTTATGAAATGTAATTACAATATTTATAATAATGTAATTAGTCATTTAAAAACATTTGCTAATTCTTTCGCATTTTTTAAAATCCGATTTATCCATCATCATTTAGTCTTTAATATTAGGTTTATTTTAGAAAAGCTTAGACCTTGTCATGTTGTTCATACGTTTAATACATTTCATATCATATTGCCACGTGGAAAATTAGGGAAGACCAACTTCAGGATGAGACAACAATTTATTTCAGGCAAGAACAAACTATGAGTGATTAACAAAAGATAAGCAAAAGAGGGAAGTGTACAGAGTATAGCAAAATATAAACATAAAAAATAATACTCTGCTAATAAAATTATATATAATTTGTTACAATATTCCATTCATTTATTGAGTTACTAGTACTTTTTTATTCAAAATAATGATACTTCGGCTAGTAAATTTTTTATTACCTCGAAGTTTCAACTAAAATTAATTAATTAATTAGTTAATTTTTAACGCTTTGCCAAATGCTTTAATATCTGTTCGTTCCTGACGAAGACAAAGATTTTTGTCGAAACGTCGATATAATAAAAAGATTTACAGGCCCAAGTATCTTTAATCTTAAGAACTATGAATGCCGGCCAGGCAGCTTCTATCTTTACAATAATACCTTTGTGTGAATATCTTTAATACAATACGAAAAAAAAAAGATATGTATTTGAATAAAACTGAGTCAAATTTGATATTTAAACTTTTTTTAATGAATCTTTTTGAGAAAACAAGAAACCATTATAATATAAATAAAAAAGAACTTTATAGATTTTTCAGCCTCATTAAAAATGTATAAAGGAAAAAAAAAGGAAATTTCTGAAAGTTCAAAATAAAATATTAAAGAAGCCAACGCTTGTCAATTATATTATAATGGAATATAAAAAGTTCCATAATTGTTGCCTTAACCAAACTCTATGTGAATATTACTGCCGACAAAATGTCAATTACCATTAAAGAATAAAAGGCGTGCTTTCCCATAAATACTTTTTTAGAAATTTATTTTAAATATAGAAATGACTAACATGTAGAGAAATTTCTTCTTCCTTTGATATAAACCTTTTTTATAACGACATTTAACAAGTTTTGCCGAAAATTTGCGGTAAAACTTGTTAACAGAAAAAATCGTTATTTATTTTAAGGAGAAATAACGACTATTCCTATCCTTAGGATGTATGAAAGGTGAATTATGAAGAGTAATGATGAACGGAAAAATAAAGTGTCCAGGGATGGGAATCGAACCCACAGTGTTCCGCTTACCAGGCACAAGCCATGTCCACTAGGCTACCCTGTTTGAAGTATGAGAGGATGAATTGTGAAGAGTAATGATAAACGGAAAAATAAAAGTGTCCAGGGATGGGAATCGAACCCACAGTGTTCCTCTTACCGGGAATATGCCATGTCCACTAGGCTACCCCGTATGAAGTATGAAAGAATGAATTATGAAGAGTAATGATGAACAGAAAAATAAAAGTTTCCAGGGATGGGAATCGAACCCACAGTGTTCCGCTTACCGGGCAGATGCCATGTCTACTAGGCTACCCTGTATGAAGTATGAAAGAATGAATTATGAAAAGTAATGATGAACAGAAAAATAAAAGTTTCCAGGGATGGGAATCGAACCCACAGTGTTCCGCTTACCGGGCAGATGCCATGTCCACTAGGCTACCCTGGATATATATTTCCGTATCTCCTTAAATTAAACTACGATTTTTCGTTCTGTAAAAATAAACATTTATGTTAATACTTTTTAAACATCGTTTTATAAGCATAGCCGTATTATATTGTATTATAATCTGTTTTATCCTAGAAGTTTGGGAGGTAACCAAGAGTGAGGTGTCGCTTCAGTGAGGCAAAACGGACTCCAGTAATCTCGTTTATTAACATCAATTGACTGACTGCTGGTAGCTAAAAACTGTCGCTATTTATATACAAAATTCTATGAAAACCATTATGTAAAACAGTATATTTGCATATCCATAATTCAATAAGCAAATACACTACACAAACCTTTTTTATTTATCCAAATCACACGTGATACAGACTATGATAATCATGGTGAATGGTTAGTTACGGATATATATTGTAAGTTTAGAATATATATTTATTAATGTTGAAAAAATCAGTTTTTCTGCTTATCTCTAGGTACACGTGGTACAGGCCATTATAATCATTGTGGGTAGTAGAAGGCGACTGCTTTTACTGTAATTGCACCATATGTCTACACATGAGAAAAGCAGTTCGACTTTGCACTTACAAATGTGCCAGAGCCCCGTTTGGTTACTTCCACTCTTGGTGGGTTTGGATTTTTCCAAGAATCGGGGGACATCGGAGCATTTTTTTTTTAATCAGAAAAAAGTACCCAATGCGGGAATCGAACCCGGGTCGTAGCGGTCCAAAACCAACGGTTCAGACCATACTTCCACTGACCCCCTTAAACATCCGTTTACCAGGGAAACGTTTATTTTATGATTTTTTAAATCCTAAATCTACCTTCGGTCATGAAAGCCCTTTTACAGGAGAAAACACACGAGATAGGAAGAATACAAAGCTGGAGATATATATATAGGTAAAAAAAGGTTTTCTGCTTATTTTTGATTATCTTGAGGATTATGCTATGTCAATGCAGTCGTGGTAAAAATCTTGAAAGTATGATAAAAATAGTTTTGATCAGTAATTGCTTTAATTGAACTAAAAGAATATATAAAAACATAATTTGATAAAAGTACTGCCTGTCTTAAGGCGTAAGAATAAAAATGGAAAACTTATTTACATAATGTACAAAGGTTTCGAGCCGGCCATCGGGAAACAACAACAATGAGTTTTTATAGGGGAAGCATGACCTCTGGCGGTCGATTTAACAGAGTATTTGAATCTATGAAATTTAATTATAAATAAAATAATATTTTAATATAACATGTATATGAAAATGAATTTAAAAGTAACTTCCCTTGAGATTTGATATTTTGAATCTAAATATTGAATCAAGGTATTATAAAACTATTTTAGAGGCGTAATATTCTTTTTTTTTTAAATAAAACAATTTCTACTGTCCTTACTTTATTTTAATTTAATTTTAATTTAATTTTTCCATCGCAGTAAGGACAGTAGAAATTGTTTTATTTAAAAAAAAAAAGAATATTACGCCTCTAAAATAGTTTTATAATTTGATAACAGATGGCGCTCTAGTACATCAAGGTATTATATTATCTAATTCTGAACCATATATTTTACACATGTAGAATGTACACTCTCAAGTTATACGATTTTTAATTTAGAATTTTCTGGACTTTGAAATTTTGAACGATTGTATCGATTCCATTCTATGACAACCTGTATCGATTTTGATAAATTCTTTTAGAGGAGCCTGAATAGAGGTTCGGAAACTAAATCCCATATAAACATATCAAATAACTCTCAAGTTATAAGACTTTTAATTTAGAATTTTCTGTACTTTGAAATTTTGCACGATTGTTCCGATTCCATTCTATGACAACCTGTACCGATTTTGATATTTTTTTAGAGGACCCTGAATAGAGTTTCGGAAACTAAATCCTATTTAAACATATCAAATAACTCTCAAGTTATACGACTTTTAATTTAGAATTTTCTGTACTTTGAAATTTTGAACTATTGTATCGATTCCATTCTATGAAAACCTGTACCGATTTTGATAAATTCTTTTAGAGGACCCTGAATAGAGGTTCGGAAACTAAATCCCATAGAAACATATCAAATAACTCTCAAGTTTAAGACTTTTAATTTTGAATTTTATGGACTTTTTAAAATTTTCCCGATTGTCCTGATTCCATTATATGACAACCTGTAACTATTTTGATAAATTCCTTTAGAAGACCCAGAATATAGGTGTGGAAACAAAATCCCATAGAAAAATATCAAATAACTCTAAAGTTATAGGACTTTTAATTTTGAATTTTCTGTACTTTGAAATTATCCCGATTCCATTCTATATGAAAACCTGTACGTATTTTCATAAATTCCTTTAGAAGACCCAGAATACGCGAGGTGCAGGAACAAAATTCCATAGAAAAATATCAAATAACTATCAATTTATAAGACTTTTAATTTTAAATATTCTGTACTTTGAAAATTTGTAAAATTTGGCATTTCTACTTACAAGACACAAGAGCCACGTTTGGTTACTTGCATTGACTAATGAGGTTAGACTTGTACATTAATCAAGAGAGAATGATGAATGACAAAAATCCTCATTGCATTAACTTATTTATAATGCATTAGCGCGCCATCTGTTATGAAAATTCGAAATTTATTATAGACGCGTAAGATTCTTTTTAATAATAAAAAAATTCTACTGTCCTTACCGCAATGGAAAAATTAAAAGGAGGTCCTGGTTCATCAGTGGTGAACCCTCTCTAGCGGTTTCGCCAGGCCCTCCCGTTAATTTTTCCATTGCAGTAAGGAAGGTATTCGAATTTTTATTAACTTATCTATAGCATTGTTGTCGAAAATTAACGGTTTTTAACTATCCTTAATTACAAACTTCACTGTTTCAACAATATTTCCTATTAACACTTACGTAGGTACACTCTCTCT